GTAGTCCTGCAGCAGTGACTGCTGACTTCTCTACCCCTCCACTCCCGTGGTATGTCTCTCTTAGTGGTGCAAGGGTATTTTTAATAAATCCTGGAGTTCTCCTTTAAGGGGATTTCCCCTTACTTCCTATATAGTTTAATGGTACAGGAAGTGGGGGGAAATCACCCCAAGGAGAATGCAGATAAGAATAGAAAACCTGATGAAGGCTGGAAACGTTCTCATTCTAATACTGATAAAAGGTAATTCTAGAACACTGACACAGGTATAGTTACTGCATATAATAGCAGTGATTATTGTGAATGTCACATGTGTCCCATCCCCAGCTCTGTTACCTTCATCTATATAGGACAACCTCTGGAGGTGGATTGGGATCCCAGCCACAAGTTCCAGCTTCTCTTTCAGCTCGGCCATCTTCATATGGTGACTGCACCCGGGTACTGAAAACCTCTCCCGGGTCTCCTGTAGTCTCACTTTGATGCTGAAGTGGCTGTCACGTGGGGTGATGGTCCCGGACTTCATTTTCCCACGATGAGCCATAGAAATCGATCGGAAGGGTATGATTAGAGCGGAGAGGAAGCGTTGCTAGGCAACCGCAAGGACGCGTTACGCTGGAAGATGTGCGGCAGAACTGGTTACTAAGCAGCCTAGCGCCCGCCTACTCCGTCCAATCAGATCCCGGCGTTCATTTGCTCATTGCAACTGCGTCCAATTAGATACCTCAGCGGCTCTAATCTGACATTGATTGGCATGTGCTGGGTCAGCGATGTGGATTTCTGGACATGTTTGTTATATATTGTAATGTTTATAGAATACAATCTAGCGGTCGTCACCCAATATTTACCTATTTGTAAACAATGTATTTTTAATAGATTTAGGTTGAGGGTTGTATACAAATTCCTGCAGAATATCAGATATCTGGAAATAAGAAAACGCATTTAAAGGTATAGTCCGCTTTTTTTAAAACCAAGTTTCATTTGGCATATAACAAGAAACATGGTCACATTTCCCAACCCCCCACCTTTAAGGCATGTAATCGTATGTGATGCAATTACATATGGATAGGACAATCGATGCGTCCAGGGATAGTGATCTCTTCCTAACCACATATAATCGTATCACATACGATTACATGCGTTGTGCCTGCATTTAAATACAGCCGCTGTCACCTGATCATTAACTTGAATGGGTAGCAGCTGACGCTTGTAAACGGCAGATTAGGTATTCCTGCAGGCAGGAAATTGCAAGTTCCTGAAGAAGGAATCAATACATGCACCTAAAGGACCCTTTCACATGGCCAGTCCGATCGGGTCCACCTGTCAGTTTTTCAGGCTGATCCGATTGGATGTCCAATGCAAGCCTATGGGCAGCCATGTTTACACCCGGTTACCCCCACCTCTGGGGTAACCGGAGAAACTGACGGGTCAGAGATGCGTTTTACCAGGCCAGAATGTGCCGGATCGGCTTAATCTGATGTAAACGGACACATAGGGCCGGATTTCCCACAAGGCTTCGGGGCGGAGGGCAGTAGAGGGACAGTTGAATGGCCCCACAATGCATTATACTGTGCTTGGGGCGTTGCAGTGACACATGCATTGTACAGAGCATTACTGCATGAATGAGCCCTTAACAATGTATTAATTAATACAGAGCTGAACCCATTTGTGTTTTTATATCTGCTTAGCGTTCAGCTTTGTTAATTACTTTTGTATGTCTTTCTTATATGTATAGTGGTTTTGTATGTGTTTATTATGCTTAGGACCAAAAAAATGAATTTTTAAAATTTTTGTTTCTGTTTTCTACTTAGATAAATAATAAATATAAAGTATTATAACAAAGTGGAAGCAACTGGGAACAACAGCAACTCAGCCACGAAGTGGTAGGCCACGTAAAATGAAAGAGCGGGGTCAGCGCATGCTGAAGCGCACAGTGCGCAGAAGTCGCCAACTGTCTGCAGAGTCAATAGTTACAGACCTCCAAACTTTTGGCCTACGCACTCCCAGAAACCACTCCCAGCACAGGTAGAGTCACAGTCAGAGTTAAGGTGCCCATACACCTTACGATTATCGTACGATAATCGTAAGGTGTATGGGCACCTTAACTCTGACTGTGACTCTACCTGTGCTGGGAGTGGTTTCTGGGAGTGCGTAGGCCATGCTGAATTAGGAAACAAATATGGCAGGCATCCCATTTAATGTCATTTCAATGTAAAATTTATTGTAATTTCTTTATTATAAAAAATAAATAAATATATATATGTATATATATATATATACATATATATATTTATTTATTTTTTATAATAAAGAAATTACAATAAATTTTACATTGAAATGACATTAAATGGGATGCCTGCCATATTTGTTTCCTAATTCAGCATGGCCTACGCACTCCCAGAAACCACTCCCAGCACAGGTAGAGTCACAGTCAGAGTTAAGGTGCCCATACACCTTACGATTATCGTACGATAATCGTAAGGTGTATGGGCACCTTTAGCTACCCCTAATACATTTCAAAGCCAGAAGAGATTTTCAATTTCTCGGTGGCTGTTATATACAGTATATTCCACTAGGTGGCACCCAAATACTAAGCAGTTAAGGAGCCCTGTCATATGAAAGTTATGGGCATTGAGATTTCTATTGTCCCTCTGAAAAATTATATCTGTCTGCGGCTATAATATTTTGACTCACACAACATGCATGCTGAAAATGAGTGCCATACATTTTTAAAATTCCTGATCTCTATATAACTTCCAGGTTAGTGCATCAGAAAGCACTGAAGCTTTGGCATCTACATGACAGCCAGAGAGCTAAGATTCCCAGAAGGAGAGGTCGGTAATGGCAGTTTATATTATTCTCCAATGACAGTTGTATAGTAAAGTAAAATATAAAGGAAGAGAGCGTGCCATATTAGGGCACCACAATGACTGTAATTTAAAAAGGGTATAAAATCCACCAGCAAGTATATAAGAACTCAAAGCATACTGCAATGTCATGCCATGTTTCATGTTATACCTATTTTTAGGTTATATCATGAAACAAGGCTACATTCCCTTCACGGCCCTAAAGTGCCCCCACAACAGCCATGTCATCTAATCAAAGGCAGAGGGACTCATGCATCTCAACTGAGCACATGTCCCCTCACTTGTAATCCATAGATTACTTCCTGTAGCCCCATAACAGAAGATTCGTACCTCGGTATGCACCTCAGAATGGGGAAAGAGACTGTAGGAGCCTGTGCATTGCACCTACAATGTAGGGCCAGATTAGGAGCATCATGGACCTTGTGCTGTTGATCGGTCAGTCAGACAGGATGCAGCAGAAGCGGTGTTCTATAATTTTTCTGGACCTCATAAGAATGCTGGACTGCATCACTTCCAGTGACGTGGACACAGCTGTTGGAGGCGTGCTAGGCTCAACGCGCATGCACCCTTGTTCTGTAATTTTTCTCCACCCATTTCTCCTTGTCACGCAGGCTCACGCGGGCTGGCCGTGGTTTTCAGCAGCGGGATCTCTGACACCACCTGACGAGAACAGCAGCTCTCTAAAAATTAGGTGGCCACTTGCTCCTTAGGAGGCCACAGCAAGCAGCTGCCTAATATGCCTGATTAGAGAGCCACCGGCACCTCTGCCTGATTGTGTTCAGCCTAGCCGGCCCAGATTGCCATTCGGCATATCAAGGCAAGGCGTGCTGGCCGGGCCCAATTTTCAGTGGTGGGCCTGGAGCTAGCGCTCCAGTAGCCCCTGTGTTAATCTGGTCCTGCTACAATGTACTGCTCACATTTGTAATGCTTTGCAGACTTCAATGCAAAAAAAATAATCAGTGCACATTTTTTATGATTGTGGTTGCATTTATAAAATTTCTCCAAAGGGGAGACTATGCTTCCACGCCGGACCGACGGTTTACGGTCTGGAGATGTAGTAGTGGATATTGTACTCCATATATATTTATAATACTGTAGGGTTTTTTTGTAATGAGTCAATAATTTCCTTTATGAGCATTCTAATAGCTTAGCCTTTATTACAGAGAATGATTCAACAACCTAAATAGGCAATTATTAGTCATTAGGCCTTGGGGGTCACTAGAGGCTCGATTAGTTGTGTGAAAGCAAACACTCTGCTAATCAAAAAAACCTGAAGTAGGTTGATATTCAGTTATTTTATTGAAGATGCACTCATACAGCATACCACAATCATATGCGTAATTGCTGTAATAAGGATATTGAGAAACAAGAGAATACTATATAAATATTAATGAGGAGTAAGATTACAACAGATCCGCTGTAGACTGTACTATATATAGCTGCTCCATTTATCAATGTTGGTATCAAAGCAGAACTAAACCATTTTTATAGTTCTAGATAGAGGAAATGGTTAGATTTTGTTTTGCATTGACTTTGTCTCCGTTGGGGTGATTCCCCCACACTTTTGTTCTGATGACCATGAAAGTGAGGTCAAACCCTAAATGTTAGGGTTGCCTCTTGCACAGATGTAGAGTAGATATCTAGTGATACACACCGATCAGCCATAACATTATGACCACCCGCCTAATATTGAGTAGGTCCCCTTTTTACCACCAAAACAACCCTGACCTGTTGAGGTATAGACTCCGCTAGACATCTGAAGGTATGCTGTGGTATCTGGCACCAAACTGTCAGTAGCAGATTGTTTATGTGCTGTTATTTGTGAGGTGGGGACTCCATGGATCGGATTTGTTTTCCCAGCACATCCCACAGATGCTTGATTGGATTGAGATCTGGAGAATTTGGAGTTGTTGTGTTCCTCACATTCTTGAACCACTTTTGCAGTGTGGCAGGGCGCATTATCATGCTGAAAGAGTCCACTACCATCCGGGAATAACGTTTCCATGAAGGGCTGTACTTAGTCAGCAACAATGTATAGGTAGGTGGTAAGTGTCAAAGTAACACCCACATGAATGGCAGGGCAAGGTTTCTCAGCAGGACATTGGCCAAATCATCACACTGCCTCTTCCGGCATGCCTTCTTCCCATAGTGCATACTGGTGCCATTGCTTCCCCAGGTAAGTGACACAAACCCGCCAGCCCATCCACATGATGTAAAAGAAAACATGATTCATCAGACCAGGCCACCTTCTTACATTGCTCTGTTGTGCAGTGCTGATGCTCATGTGCCCATTGTAGGTGCTTTTGGCAGTGGACAGGGGTCAACATGGGCACCCTGACAGGTCTGCAGCTACACAGTCCCATATGCAACAAACAGCGATGCACTGTGTGTTCAGACACCTTTCTATCGGAATCAGCATGCACATTTTCAGCAATATGAGCTACAGTAGATCTTCTATTGGATCAGACTACACAGACTGCACTCCTCATGTGCATCAATGAGCCTTGGCCACCCATGACCCCGTAGTCGCTTCACTGGCTTTCCATCCTTGGACCATTTTTGGTAGGTCCTGACCACTGGAGACTGGGAACATCCCACAAGAGCTACAGTTTTAAAGTTGCTCTGACCCAGTCATCTAGCCATCACAATTTGACCCTTGTCAAAGTCACTCAAATCC